AATACTAAGAGAAAGAGAGACGACTGGGGAGAGAAATTTGCGGGATCGTAGACGTAGAGACACGGCGGGGCGCGCTGTAAATTACAAGCGGAGCGCCAAACCGCTATGGTCTTCTCTCGGTGGCGCAGGGGTGTCTAGACGTATAGATAATACCGAGTTTGTGCGGGGCAGACGCAACCTAGACGGTCCCTGGTTCATCCAGCCACCCGAACCAGCCAGCCAACCAGCCAACCAGGCTAGGCTAGACACATCGACCATGCTCCGTTTCTCTCGTTTGCCTCGTACTCTCTCTTCCTCTTTCCACCCTGTGCACTATCTCTGTCCCATTCTGGTCGCCGGGACCCCGTTCCCATCTATGTATGTATGTATGTGTATATATATATATATATACACACACACACACACACATACATACACTATATATATACTGTCATGGTCTTCGTCGCACTTGGCCATCTGCGAGCACACCTATATGTGCCCTCAACCGGATTTCCCATCGTTCTCGTCGCACCGGCTCACGAACGCGAGCTTCCTCCCGCATTCGCCGCGGAAGGCAAGAGACGCAAATCCTCAATAGCATCGCCGCTTGGATCCGAGATCCCATTGGCAGCGATCGTGACGTGGATGACGCACCAAGGCGTCTGGCCTGGCGTCTTCGTTCCACCCTCGAGAGCCGTCGTTGCGCACAACCGAAGGTGTTACCACCTCGCGACCTCGGAATTGTTTCCGCTCGCGAACGTTCTTGCGACGCTCCGTGGCACTTGGCTGAAAATTTAACTTGCTTTCGGCTGACAGCCCTCCATTTGCTATTTGATGTGTTGCGGGAATTCTAATGGCTGATGCAGAAGCGTGGCTGGAAGGAATCGTGATTGGGGTGCAATGGGATAGATTTAGAATCTTCGGTTACGACATTATCGATGACTTGTAGTCAACGATGATGAAGATTCAGTTTCTGCGTTAATACAGTGTTTCCGATTACGGTTTTCGTTGTGAAATTTTTTTCCTTGGCACTTTCTCAAAACATGAACTTTCAGATTTGCTTTCCAATTCACTGGCTTGAAACGTTGCTAGTTCTGTCGTTCACTACTACGCGTGAAGAACGACGGGGCAGCCAGAAATAGCGTCCGACCCGATCGGTGCGCGGATTTTCACGAGGAATTAAGGACACGCTGCATCCCCCACGGTGTGTACCCATCTTCCTATATCGTTTCGGAGTAGACCGGGGCCTCATCCCTGGCCAGCCAGCCAGCCAGCCGTTTTAATCGGCCGACTGCAATGCATAAATCCCCGTTAAATAATACGGTAGTTAACAGTGCCATTAAGCCGTTCGAGATACCGCAAAACCGGTAGGGTGCTCCTCGCTGTACGTGCGAAGTCCGTATTTATCGGCAGCCGACGCGCCGCCACCGAGAAATATTGTTCGTTTCCACCGGCATTTGCCGGCGAAGAGGGGGACAAAAATAAAAAAAAAATAGAGAGAGAGAGAGAGAGAGAATGGAAAAGAGAACCAAAATCAAAGAGAAAGAGATGAAACGATTGAACGTGGAATAACTTACAAAAGTATTCGAACATTTTGATACATGTATATATATAAGAAGTAGTTCATAAGTAATGTCGTTTTTTTTTAAATTTAATAACCATTTAGCGACAATAATTTAACTTATTGTAACATAATCTATATTCTAGTTAAATATATGTTGACATTTAGTGTGCTCATTGTTAAATTATATTGCCGACTAAGAAATAAAATTTTGTACAGTGTCAAAAAAGAGAAAGTAGCCATTACTTGTGGCTACACCTAATGTATTGTACGTGTTATATAAAATATTTCATTGGCACTGTAATAAAGCACGGTTAGAGCAACTGGTGATTTATACTGGTATACAGTGAACGGGGGGTGTACATTTTCAGATTTATTTGACACTTCACCGATGTAATCGCGATAATCGAGTTTCATTGCAGTGGTAATGAAGTTCCAAACGTTTCGCAGGAACGCGCGTAAAATGTAATTTTGTAAAAGATTTCTACAGGTGTTGGGACACTTTCGCGAGCTGTTGCGTGGCCAAATGGGCGAACTGGTATTCCCATTCTCGACCACCACCACCCTCTTGATTCACGGCGGCACGCGTAATTAATTGTTTCGGGTGTAATGAGCAGGATCGTTTTTACGCGGCGCGAATCGTAATTAGCGGCTTTGTATAAATATGAAATTTCACAGGGATTATTTAATGTCACGTTGTCGAGCGCGAAAGCGGCAGCTCGCGAGAGCCGTGTACACACCCTGGTGCGGCTGACACTTGGAGGGTCCGTTTTAATGATCTCGATCCGTTGATTCCGAATGGACTGCGGCGGTTTCCCTGGACTCTAACGACTGGGCGAGCTGAATAGCGCGATGATGTTTTTTGCTTTTATTTTCGAGACCGTCGGGAAACGACCTCGGAAGGGAATATCAACCTGGAGGACGGTGGGGGAGAGGAAGGGGGGTTAGGTAAATTTTCTTAGGTAAATTGAGTTCGCTTAAATCGGAAAGGAGTGACTCGAAGGTGGAGTGATTAAATAAAATGGATAGACTTGGTCGCGAAAGTATCTGCCAAGGTGACACAATTGGTAAACTTGGTGATGTTTCTGCAAAAATTGAAAATTAACAACGATCACGGGTAGGAGACAAGATTAATGAAATTGCGATGACCTTGTTACTTGACGAACGATCGTATCAATCGCGTCAGACAATTGCATGCAACCGAAGAAAGGACAATGAGCTATAGCTATCTCGATTCGTTTCTGGTTGGTTATTTTTCTCCGAATGTCACGAGTTGTTCGGTGATCGGATACGCTTATTTTACCAGTGGACAGCTCTGAAAATATCTATAACAGAAGGGTGGCCGGTATTGCGATCCTTATCTGTGGCGGAAACATCGAAGAAAAGCACACGACAGAAATATCGTCGACGTCCATTTCGATTCATCAATACACGCGTGTGTGACAAATGATTGTTTCTTGATGTATTTTACGATATTCAGTGCTCCCTGGAATTCATATAACGGGATTTGTTGATTCTTTTTGTATAGTCGCGTCAATTGGAATTGTAAGAATTTTTGGAGTGAGGTCGTTCGAGAAATACATGCAAAACTTTTTTGCTCCTTG